CCAAATAACATATACTCAACACTCGGCCGAATTTAAAATTGGTAATGATGATGCGTAAGTCTGAATTATTCACAAATTGGAAAAAAACAAAGAAAAAATGGCAAACCATTTCATATTTAATTATGACCTTATAATTAATGAATAGATGATGATTGATAACTTGACTCTAACCTAAATTTCTTTATATAAGTGGTCTTCTAAATTTCTTCAGCTTCACAAAAAATTGTTTCATTCATAATATAAACTAAATTTCGTCTACAATCAAAAAAATTCAAATTTTATTTATCCACGATTAATTTCAAATTTTATTTATCCACAACTAAGTTCAAATTTTATTATATATAAAATCATGAAGTTCAATTACGTTGCTGTATTTTCGACCCTTCTCATTGCCAGTACGTTGGCAGTTCCAACTCCAATTTCACAAGGTATTAATTTTTATATCAATATTTGATTATACTCATAAATTGCTTATTTTTTATATTGAATAATTTATTTATTCATTAATTTTCTATTTAAGATGCCGTTAAAGGTGTGAAAAAGCTGAGAGCGGATTCTGTTAATTTTGAAGATAAGAAAAGGGAAGCTGTTGAAAATGTTGAAGATAGAGCAAGAGCTTCCATTAATGGGTTGAAAAAGACTTCTGTTGTTACGGAAAGAGAGATTAAAGATGCAAAAAGAGAAGCTGTTGAAAATGTTGAAGATAAAGCAAGAATTTCTATTAACAGAGCGGGAAGGGGACAATAAAGAATAAGAAAAGAGAAACTGTGAAACTATTGAAGACAAGGACTTCTATTAACGATTTGAGAATGGGAAGGTTTGAAGATGATGTCAAAATCTTTATTGTATTATTAGTCTGATAAATGTTATAAGCTATTTGTTACATTTAATATAATAAATTACTCATGTACCTGTATCAGCTCAAAAATTATTATATATTCTATTGTGATTTATATTGAATAAAGCTAGTTTTACAAATCAGTAAAATTTTTTCAATCGATTAGTTGGTTGGTTGCAATTCGAGATGTGAATCGTACAGTAAGGTAAGCAAAAATTTTAGAACAAATCATGAAAGTATCCCTATCTCAATATTTTGACTATGAAATTGTCTTTGCACTCTAATAAAAATTGTTCCGTGCAAAATGTTACATATAACTGATTAATAAATGCCACGTGTATTATATATATTACGTATGTTATACACATTATGCAACTATCGTACTGTACGTACTGTACGCGAAAAAATTCAGTTATCATATAAATAACACATCACTAGTTGCAACTAATTCATTAAGTAAATAAATAATTTTTAAATCGATTCTTTGCAAAAATCGATCAATTCTTTATTGCGGTTTGCATAATTATGTGAAATTTGAAGATCATTAAAAAAAAAAGTAATCACAGATTTCCGATTACTGATTTCTGATTTCTTCATTTTTTTTGACTTTTAGACTTGACAAAATTTGCGCATTTATTATTTGTAAAAATTTGATTGAATATTTTAATTCACAACATCTATTTTTGCAAATATATTACAAAATGAATATGCAATTTTTATTTCCATAAAAATGATAAAATTTTCACAGAATAATAACTGCACAAATTTTATCTAATCTAAAAGTCAAAAAAATGATGAAGAATCGGAAATCAGTAATCAAATCGTGATTACTTTTTTTTTGATCATCTTCAAATTTCACATAATTTTGCAAACCGCAATAATCAACTAGTTGCAACTATTCGATTAGTCGATTAATCGATTAATCGATTAGTTGGTGTCTAAAAAATTCAATCGATTAGTTAACTTTTTCAGTAATTATGATGGTTTTCTTATAAGCTATCCAAATTATAGACACTTACTTATATAAATATCTAAAACTACTTAGTAATAGGTGCATTAATCGAATTTTATGAGTAAATTAGTCAAATTTATAAATTGTTAATGAAATACATACAATCGTATTCTTTTCTGATTTCTCAGATCAACAATAAGGTAGCTTCGCGACTCTGTTATGCAATATTAGGATCGTAAAATTATGAATAAACTAGAGATTTATATAGTGCAGCAGCTTTTCTAGACTGTCCTAATAATTGATTAGAAATAATAGACCGATTGAATTTATAAAATACTAGTGCCATTTTACTTATTAATTAAGAATAAAAATTGATGCCGTAAATAATAATGCCCAGGGGTGAAATTATGAAATTTGGCTAAATTAGGCTTAATTTGAGCCAAAACTAAAAATAACGCCTATGGTCGCTATTTTGAGAATTTATAGTAAATTTTAAATAGCAAAAGTTATTAATTAAATAGCTTTAATATTTACTGACTAAATTGAAATGAAATAAGAAATATTGTGCGATAGCAAAGATTAATGATAAAAGGTTACGCAATGCATAGATTTTACATATAAATATGCAATAGCAAGCTTTAATCAACCTTGAAACTTGCTTGTAAGATGAATTAAAAATTTTGTAGTATAATTAATAATAAATGTAAGTACTGTATTATATGCTAAATATCATGAACCTACCCCTTATTTAAATCATTAACTTACGGTCAACGCGCATGATCACATGCTTGATGTGTGGGATTTTTAAGACCCTAGCGTCACCAACTTAAAAAATTTCGCTAAAAAAAGTTTCGCAGTTAAGGTTTTGCTATTAAGTTAGGTTAAAGAATGTATTCCTAATACCAAAATTTCGCAAGGAAAACTTTTTGTTAATGCGCAGAAAGTAGTTTCATAGGTAAAATGTTGTGTTATAAATGTTATAAATGATTTTTTGGTTTGTTTTTTTTTTGCGTTTTTTTGTGTTACACCGGATCTTGAATTCTGATTGGCTGGCGAAATAGTAGCAAAATTTTTTAGAGTGGTGATGCTAGGGGGGTTTGGGATTTTTTATAATTCGTGTCAGTACTATAATTCCAGCAGAAATTTGGATATTCCAAAATTTCCGAGAAAATCTGAAAGAACGCATCAGTAAAATTCTGAATATGATTGATAGTCTGTCCTGTGATATAGATGCAGATATATGTTAATGCTGTAATTAATCATAACATCAATTAGATGTACCTCAAAGATGTGACAATACGTAAAAAAGCCATAACTAATCTGGCATGTGCCATAACTTTTGACTTATATATAGATGGGATCGGCTACGGCTATAGCCGATTATAGCCATAGCTAATATGGGAATGGGCAAAAACCATTCTTTGACAGATAGTTTGAGTTTTTAAAAAATTGTGATTAATGGTTGCATTACACGAAAATTCAATCCCAGATTTTGATTTATTTATAATTCAATTCGCCAAGTTATCTTCTACTTTATAGAAACTTGTATTTTTGCTAAATATGTTTTTAATATAATTAAAATTTTTAATATATGTTTAAAATATTCTAAAAGTAAAATATAGGTGGCAATGCCATTCTAGCCCAATACTTCTGTATGTAGTTAAAAACAGAATTAAGAAGGAAATAATGGTATTAGGAACCAACTGGAACAGTAATAACAAAACTAGAGAAATCTTGTATAAGGGTTTAATGACAAACAACTAGAAAGTAAATAAATGTATCATTTGTAAATATAATATTTAAGTATTAAATAAATTATGCCTCCTGGCGTCCCTTCATAGAAAGGGTTTAAAAAAAAAAAAAAAAAAAAAGTAAAATATAATTTTTTTTTTTTATTTTGAATTTGCTGCATACATGATAAGATTAGTTACAGATTTGTATCAAGATGATATTAATTTTGAACTATCTATTATATCTTGTATAACCA